GCAGCTAGCTCTCTCGCCATCGGTTCAATACCTCGACGGATTGAATGCATTGGCACCCTTCTGAGCAGAAAGCTCGGGAAAAGTCACATCAACACAGAACCAAACTTAGTCGTCCACCTCCTTCTGGCGGCTTTCTTTGGAGAGCTTTGGCAACATGAAGGCGGCCGCAAAGGTCAAGTTCTCCCGCGGTGTCAGGGTCTCGTACATGATATCGTCCTGGGTGACGTATCCCACGCTGCTCCTGAAGGGTTTTATCAAGGGAGCTGCACGCAAAGGTTATAAAATGGTCCGTGCAGCGCGCCTGGACCAAATGCAACTGGATGTCTAGAAAAAACTTGCCAAAGTGATGCCAGCCTGCCTGACTTTGGATAACGCGGCACCATCGTAGTAGATACCCCCTTCAGTGAATCCTGTGATGGTTCTCCCCACGATGCTGTTCAGTAGTGTGGTTTTGCCAGCCCCAGAAGGGCCCATCAAAGCCACCATATCTCCTGCCTGGACCACGCAGTTTACTTCATCCAACAGCTTCCGGCCACCCGCGACAGTGATGCTCAGGCCTTCCACTGCCACGTTCATGGCTCAGCAGTCTCAGGGGATGCAACTACGGACCGTGGCTGTGAGTGCTGGAACGAAAACCAACAGATCGGGCTAGTAATCACGGCAGTGAGTGACCTTTGCCCTGAGAAGCAAAGCTTTTCCCGAAGCAAACAAAGGCCCCGACCCCCTAAACCCTAAGCTGAGGCACAGGAAGTGCACGAGGACATTGAGACTAAAGATGAGGACGGAAGCCCGCGACCTGCGCGACCTATAACTCCTCTACAACTATATATGATGCATGTGTATACCTATATATATACATATATGTTTCTACTTATGTACATACGAACATGTTATGTTCTATCACTTTTATGCTACACACATGTCTGTATGTATGTATGTACGTCTGCATGCATGCATGTATGTATATGTGGACACTGGCAAGCGAACACTCCCGGTGATGATGCTGCCCTTGGCCACGGTTTCCTCAGTACGTTCTAGTTCTATCCCCAAAGCATCAAACTATTGAGACAATCACTCTTGGGTTCCAAGCAATCCCCTCGGTGTGACAACCTATCACCAGCTATTAAGACTCTTTAACCGTATTTCAGCCAGAAAGCAAACCATCGTCCTTTACAACTAGTTGGGTGGGAGGCGTCATCACAGGCCTCGGCAAACCCGAACAGCTCTACCGCAAGCAGCCCAACTCAGCTTTGATTTTGCCACCAGAACCTCCCCATCACAACCAGCTAACGGTTAACCACAAACAGTTGGCAGAGTCTCCAAACTTTTGGGCGGGCTGCCTCGGAAACACGTTCGGTGTTGGAAAACCTGAAAAGCAATCGTGGGGACACACTGTCTGAGGCTGTTCCATGGACAGATCGATATTTGTGGACTGAATGCGTTTCCAGAGTCAACGGCCTACGCAGCAGAAGCAGTAGTAACTCAGTAGTAGTAGTAGAAGAAGTAGTAGTAGTAGTAGTAGTAGTAGTAGTAGCAGTAGCAGTAGTAGTACGGTCGAGCGGTCGAGCTTTATATTAAGAAATCTTATTAAACAAGAAATGAGACTCTGGTTGCCGCAACAATAAATTATTTGAGACTCTGAGTGCCCCAAAAACATTTTATTTGAGACCCTGAAAGCCACCAACCCTAAGAATTGCAAAACCGCGATGAAGTCGAAGGCCAGCAGGGGCAGGAGTTCCAAAACCACCAAAAAATC